TTCAGGATTTTTGCATCTATGTTCATCAGTGATACTGGTCTATAATTTCCTTTTTCTGGTTTTTGTATCAGGGTGATGGTGCCTTCATAGAATGAATTTGGGAGTGTTTCTCCCTCTGCAATTTTTTGGAAGAGTTTGAGAAGGATAGGTGTTAGCTCTTCTCTTAATGTTTGATAGAATTCGCCTGTGAAGCCATCTGGTCCTGGACTTTTGTTTGTTGGAAGATTTTTAATTGCAGTTTCAATTTCATTACTGTGATAGGTGTGTTTATATTTTCTAATTATTCCTGGTTCAGTCTGGGAAAATTGTACCTTTCCAAGAATTTGTCCATTTCTTTGTGGTTTTCCATTTTATTTTCACATAGTTATTTGTAGTAGTCTCTTATAATCCTTTGTATTTCTGTGGTGTCAGGTGTGATTTCTCCTTTTTAGTTTCTAATTTTATTGATTTGCATCCTCTCCCTTTTTTTCTCGATGAGTCTGGCTAAGAGTTTATCAATTTTGTTTATCTTCTCAAAGAACCAGCTTTTAGTTTTATTGACCCTTGCTATTGTTTTCTTTGTTTCTGTTTCACTTATTTCTGCTCTGATATTTATGCTTTCTTTCCTTCTACTGACTTTGGGTTTTTTTGTTCTTCTTTCTTTAGTTGTTTTAAGTGTAGGATTAGATTTTTTATTTGAGATTTTTCTTGTTTCTTGAGGTGAGATTGAATTGCTATAGACTTCCCTATTAGAACAGCCTTTGCTTCGTCCCATAGATTTTGGATCATCGTGTTTTCATTGTCATTTGTTTCTGTGTGTTTTTTAATTTCTTCTTTGATTTCTTCACTGATCTCTTGGTTATTTAGTAGTTCACTGTTTAGCCTCCTGTGTTTTGTACAGTTTTTTTTCCTGTAATTGATTTCCAATATCATAACGTTGTGGTCCAAAAAGATGCTTGTCATGATTTCAGTTTTCTTAAATTTTCCAAGGCTTGATTTGTGACCCAAGATGTGATCTATCTGGGAGAATGTTCCATGTGCACTTGAGCAGAAATTGTATTCTGCCTCTTTTGGGTGGAATGTTCTGTAAATATCAATTAAATCTATCTGGTCTATTGTGTCATTTAAAGATTGTGTTTCCTTATTTATTTTCTGTTTGGATGATCTGTCCATTCATGTAAGTGGCATGTTAAAATCCCCACTATTATTGTGTTACTGTCAGTTTCTCCTTTCATGGTTGTTAGCATTTGCCTTATGTATTGAGGTGCTCCTATGCTGGGTCCATAAACATTTATAATTGTTATATCTTCTTCTTGGATTGATCCTTTGATCGTTACATAGTGTCCTTCTTTGTCTCTTGTAGTAGTCTTTATTTTAAAGTCTATTTTATCTGATACGAGTATTGCTCCTCCAGCTTTCTTTTCATTTCCATTTGCATGGAATATCTTTTTCCATCCCTTCACTTTCAGTTTGTATATGTCCCTAGGTCTGAAGTGAATCTCTTGTAGACAGCATATATCTAGATCTTGTTTTTTATCCATTCAGCCAGTCTGTGTCTTTTGGTTGGGGCCGTTAATCCATTTACATTCAAGGTTATTATCAACATGTATGTTCCTATTACCATTTTCTTAATTGTTTCAGGTTTGTTTTTGTGGGTCTTTTTCACCTCTTGTGTTTCCCACCTAGAGAAGTTTCTGTAGCATTTGTTGTAAAGCTTGTTTGGTGGTGCTGAATTCTCTTAGGTTTTGCTTGTCTGAAAAGCTTTTGATTTCTTCATAAAATCTGAATGAGATCCTTGCTGGGTAGAGTAATCTTGGTTGTAAGTATTTTTCTTTCATCACTTAAAGTATATCCTGCCACTCCCTTCTGGCCTGCAGAGTTTCTGCTGAAAAATCTGTTGATAGCCTTATGGGGTTTCCTTTATATGTTATATTTGTTTTTCCCTTGCTGCTTTTAATATTTTTCGTTTCAATTTAATTTTTGTTAGTTTGATTACTATGTGTCTTCGTGTGGTTTTCCTAGGGCTTATCCTGTACAGGACTCCATGTGCTTCCTGGACTTGGGTGACTATTTCCTTTCCCATGATAGGGAAGTTTTCAACTCTAATCTCTTCACATATTTTCTCAGATGCTTTTTTTTTCTCTTCTTCTTCAGGGACCCCTGTAATTTGAATGTTGGTGTGTTTAGTGTTCTCCCAGAGGTCTCTGAGGTTGTCTTCAATTCTTTTCATTCTTTTTTCTTTATTGTGCTCCTTGGTGGTTATTTCCACCCTTTATCTTCCACCTCACTTATTCGTTCTTCTGCCTCACTTATTCTGTTACTGATTCCTTCTAGTGTATTTTTCATTTCAGTTATTGTGCTGTCCATCTCTGTTTGTTTGTTCTTTAGTTCTTCTAGATCTTTGTTAAACACTTGTATTTTCTCAATGTGTGCTTCCCTTCTCTTTCCGAGATTCTGGATCATCTTTATAATCATTACTCTGAATTCTTTTTCAGGTAGGTTACCTATTTCCTCTTCATTTACTTGGTCTTGCAGGTTTTTACATTGCTCCTTCATCTGTGACATATTTTTTTGCCGTTTCTTTTTTTTTTTTTTTTAGTGAGTGGGATTGTGTTCCTGTCTTACTGGTTGTTTGGCCTGAGGCTTCCAGCACTGGAGTTTGTAGGCTGTTGGGTAGAGCTGGGTCTTGGTGCTGAGATGAGGGCCTCCGTGAGACCTCACTCTGATGAATATTCCCTGGGGTCTGAGGTTCTCTGTTAGTCCAGTGGTTCAGACTCAGAGCTCCCACAGCAGGAGCTTTGGCCCAACCCCCAGCTTCTGAACCAAGATCCCGCAAGCCATGTGGGATGGCAAAACAAAAAATAAAGGAGAACAATTACAAAGTAAAAAATAAAATTATACTAGGAAACTAACAGATATGTTAGAAAGAATATAAAAATAAAAATATAGATGAATCAACAACCAGAAGGTACAGCAGTACCACAATAGTAAGAAAGAGGAGGAGGGAAAAGAGAAAAACAAAAAAGAAAAGAAAAAAAGGGGAAAAGGCCTTGGCTGTGGAGGGTGGGGCCTAAGTAAGGGTGAGGTTTGGGTCAGGGGCAGGGACTATGCTTAGGACCCACAGGGCTGGAAAAGGCCCTGGGAGCTGTGGGGGGTGGTGCTTAGGCTCAAGGAAGAGAAGGGGCTGGGCATGCCCCCACCCCGGTCTCAGAGGGTAGGGGACCTCACCTGGGAGCCCAGCAGGCTTTCTGGGCTCGAGTGCCTGGAGTGAACGCCCTCCACTCCTCTCCCTCTCCTCCGGGAGGGCCCCTCCCGCCTGCCTCTCCTGATCTCCCCAGCCTCCCTCCTATGCCCCCAAGCACCCATGTGGCCTGGAGGGGGCCTTGAAGGGCAGAGGACTGGCCTGGGAACTCAGCAGGTTCCCCAGGCCCAAGTGGGTGCAGCAGTCACCTTCCACTCCTCTCCCCTCCTCCTGGAGGGACCCTCCCTTCTGCCTCTCCTGATTTCCCTGGCCTCAGGGACGCCTATCCTGTCTGGCCTCCACTTCTCCTCCCCCCCTCTGTCCCCCCACATCCTACCAGTTCACTTGGGGGTTCCTCCTGTCTCCTTGGGCGTCAGGGTCCCCCACCAGCGGGCGGCAGATGCCCTAGTTGTGGGGAGACACTCTATAATATTTTCTTAAGATCATCTTAAATTTCGTGAGATCTACAGTAATGTGCCTTTATCATTTCTAATATTGGTAGGTTTTATCTTTTCTTTCTCTTTTTTTGATCAGTCTTGCTAGAAGTTTATCAGTTTTATTAGTCAAAGAACCATTTTTTGGCCAGATTCAAGACGAACAAGGGAAGGTTTACAGTTCTTCTTTGTGCCCTGACTCATATTAGTATAAACAGGAATATCAGGGATCTTCAATGAATCTTGAGAGAGATCTGGATATTCTGTTCAGACAACACCTATTTTTTTTAAAAAAAACTTTGAAGAGTATGAGGTATTGTTAGCCGAGTTTGAGAGGGGTGCATTGTTACTGTTATTTACATTTGTCTCAGATTAAGCAGGACCTCTCATTCCTAAGGAAATGCATGGCAGCCCTTTCTAGAGGTTCGATTGGTCTTATCTGTGTAGACTTACTTTATGTTCTCCATTCAATGTGGCACATGGTCTCGCACAGTTTAGGTGTTGGGGTGGGAACTAGTTTCATGAAGGATAGAATCATTCAGAAGATTACTCTGTACAGATTTGACTAAACTTGCAGCTCTAGGAATGCTACTGCCTTTTTAGGAAGGCAACTTAAGAAGTTATCATCTCAAGGCCCTTCATTTCTTTTCTTAAAATAACCATATCATTTAAGTCAACTGAGTTCTTTTCTGTAATACTACTTGAGAAGTCTAGAAGATATGAAGATTTTAGCCAGATGAAGCCACAAGTGAAGAGCTAGAATAGCCCAAAAGCTGAAAACAAATTAGTTTGTAGAGAGGGAAATGAAGTGCTACACTGGGTTTCAAGGCCCAGTTGAAGGTTAGAGGCCAGGGTGGAAGGTGCAGAAATGTTTTCATGTTCCATGTAGGTGGGCTGGAGTTAAAGACATCCCACAGCTGTCAAAGGCCAACCAAATCCTTTGGGATGGAGCTTCTCATTAGTTTCTGCTCTTCTCCTGGCTCCTTCTACAACATAAGAGCTGAAAAAAATAATACATTTTAATTTCAGAATCTTCATTTGAAAATTTGGGAATCAGACACTCCCCGATAATTGTTTCAACTTTTGAAGAGCACTTAACCTTGTATTATTTCAAAAAGAACTTTCTATCAAGTGTGAATCCAGGGAGCAAAAGAAGCCACGTACATAAAGGCTTGTAACTCTTTGTTCTCTTGTGGGAATTATTATTCTCTGTGGAATTATTGTGATTTTAAGACCCATTAAAGAAAGTTGACATTCTCACTTTTCATCTTCCACCCCACATCGTCGTTCACAGTTGGTCTGTACCCTGGTTGCCTGGTTGAGCTTCAGTGATGTCTGTTTTCCAGGTCATGATCTTGCTGTGCAATCAGCAAAGCTTCATCTGCACCCACGTTGACTACTGCCACCCTCACTGCTACCTGCACCACAGCCGCTCCTGTGCCCGGCTCGTCAGGGCCATTAAGCTGCTCTATGGAGACTCTGTGGACTCCCTCCGAGAGAGCAGCAGCGTCAGCAACGTGGCTCTCCGGGGCAAGAAGCAGAAAGAGGTGAGCGAATGATCACATGATAATATACCAATGATAGGGAAAGTGATGTCCTAACAACCTTTTCTCTGGAAATGCAAACTTCAGCCCACTGCAGTTGCATAAACCAGGCTACAGATCTGTGTGATTTCGAGCAAAATTAGAAGATGGGTACAAAAAAGGCAAGTGCCAAAAACAATAAATAAATAAAAGACAAGTGCTTTGTCTTCATGTCCATGAGCAAACATGGGCTCAACTCTTTTCCCAGGCTTATTTCTACAAATAAATATGAACTCAAAGGGGCACTGGTGATAAGTAGGTTGCTGTGGTAGGAAGAATAATGTCCCCCCAAAGGTGTCCGATTTCTAATCCCTGGAACCTGTGACTATGCTACCTCACCTGGCAAAAGGGATTTTGCCTGTGTGAGTAAATTAAGTATCTTATAATGGGGAGATTATCCTGGATTAGCCAAGTGGGCTGAACATAGTCAGAGGTAGAGATGGAGATGTGATGACAGAAGCAGAGGTCAGAATGATGCAGGGTAGTGAGTCCAGGCAGCCTCTGGAAGCTGGAAAGGACAAGGAAATGGATGATTCCCTAGAGCCTCCAGAAGGAACACAGCCCTGCCAATTCATTTTAGACTTCTGACCTAGAGAACTGTTAAGATAATAAATTTGTGTTATATTTTTGCCAGGAAGGTTTTAGTGATTTGTTACAGCAGTAATAGGAGACTGATACAGTTATAGCTTAAGAAATAAGCAATAAATGGCCCAACTGTTCACTGATAAATAATAGAGTCAAATCAGACTAAAGGAAACTTCTTCAAGAAACTATTACATTTTCTAAGCATTCAGCTGCACTTTCCTGAAAACTGAACAGCTGAACTGGCAGAAGATGAAGACAGTAACCAGGGCTGCCGTGCTTCTGCCAGGGAAGCCCTGAGTTACCCATCTGCCCCTGAACAGGCGTGATGGCCAAGATGCTCTACTGCATGCTGCTGGCCGCCCCTGCAGCTGCTTCTCACAAGTGGATCTGCCAAGAGATTTTTATATAATCCCTATTCATTTCGATGAGCATTCATTGTGCACCTGCTGTTGGCATATATATAGAATATGAGGCTAGATATTCTTGGAGAAATAAAAAATAATTAAGCAGGAGTAGAGGTTATTTCTGTTGATACTAAAGAGTTTGTGAACCAGGTTTGGTGGGGTGGGAGGATGGCAATAAAATACAAATCAAGCTAGAGAATATAAACAATAACAAAAAATGCACAGTTGAGTTGTATATCAATCTGTAATGCTTTAGCATTCACAAAAGGGATTTATTTAATTATGATTTTTTAAATTTTGAAAGCAATATGGGTATATGGAAGAAATTTTGGCTAATACAAGAGCTCCTAAAGAGATCCTAAAGAAAAAAAATATGTATCTCATGCGTATCATAAGTGTGCTAATTTGCCTTCTGGAATATGACCTTTTAGTATTTTCTTCAAAGCATATGTATGAGCGTATAAGGTAGGTATACATCATTGACAAAGTACTTTTTGATTCTTGCAAATCTCGTGCAGGAGATACTCTTCACATTTTACAGATGAAAATGTTGAGGTTCAGAAAGATGGGATTGTCCACACTTCACATCTAGAACAGCTAGACTTTAATTTATAAACATGGAATTTCAAAGTCAGGGCTTTTTCAACTAGACTCTATTGCATCTACCGGTATTCAAACTACACAAATTCTGAGGGGAAATCAGGTGGGGAAACTACATGAACTGCTAAATGATGACATAAAGAGAAAAGTTTGTATGTGTATATATGTTTGTATGTATATGCATGTACATAGACATGCATTTGTGTTTGAGATACATGTATGTACACACATGTATCTCAAACATAAATAACACTTCATACAAAGAAAACCTATTTTTATTTAGGTAAGTTCTCCTTCATATAAAAACTCCCTTAGCTTTAGAAGAAAACCATATATGTTGAAAATTGTAAAAATACGCCAACCTAATGTTCGTTGTTCACCATACACACGCTGAGATTTCTTACTTCCATACCTTTGCTCCAGCTGTATCTTCACCTGTAATCTACATGTGGCTGAACCCAAACATCCTTCAAGATCCAGCTCAAGTGCCGCCTCCTTCTTTTCTGATCTCCCTAGCATTTACCACTGGGCATACTGCAGGTGGATGATTAATGACATTTTCTATTCCTTCTTCCTCTAAACTACAATGATGGTTTACTTGTGCTTTTCACATCCTTCATTCAATTATTCATTCATTCATTGATCCATCCATCCATGTGTCTATTCAGCATATTTTAAAGAGATTCTGGACCATGCTGAGTCCATACTGTGTTGGGTATAGTAATGGCCCTACCCTTCTAAGATGCACACAGTCTAGTCTAGAGACAGAAATTAATCAAATAAACATCCCAAGTTGATGTAAAATTGCAACAACGATAAGCACAATGAAGGAGAAGCACTCTGTGCTGAGAGATCTTATGAATAAGACTTTGAACCAAGGATGATGGCTGGAGCACGGAGGACCGTGGTGCCTGATGAGGCTGCACAAGCAGGTAGAGAGCAGACCAGGTTGAGCCTCTGAGGCCTTGGGAAGGATTTTAGTCTTTATCCTGTGAATAGTGACAAGCACCGAGAGGTTTTTAAGATTGCTCTGCCTGCAAAGTGGGGCTACTTACATCCCTATTTCTCTTCTCACTTAATTATAAAGCTTCTTGAGAACTGAGGCAGTCTTACACATTTTGCATCCTGTGTGATACCTAACAGAGTACCTCACTATGGCAGAGAGACTATAATATTGAGTGAGTGAGTGGGCTATAGAGTTCTATGATGTTTCATGAGTGCCTTTCACCTCTGGCCCATCCAGGACACTGACCTGAAGCAGCAGAAAAAGTTACCAACCTTACATGTTGCTTACATTTTTGAAAGGGAAAGTAAAGCAAGAGTATAAGTGTTCCCTAACCCTAACACACTTAAATTAGTCATGCAGGTGGAGAGCTGAAAAGATGTATTGAGTCTTCTGTGATAAACATTTTATTTCCAAAATGCCAGCCTCCTGTTCAAGCTTCTTTTTTATTCTCTCATGATGTTTCCATTTGCCTGTTCTGAATCTGTCACATGAATGAACAATGCCCACATTTTCAGAGCCCAAATGAAAACAGAGTAGGCAATAAACCAAGAATAAAAGCAGTGATTCTGATTAAAATCGAGACTTATGAGCAATTGGTATTTCATTCGTGTTTCCTTTTTAATTGGTTTTTGTGGCAGAATATATTTGTGGCAGCTAGTACATTTTGTAACCCTTCTAACTCTGATCAATCTGCTAATCTACATTTCAGTGCTCAGAGACTCACTGTACATTCTGTTAGTCTGTTTTAGTGCACTTCCAAATTTGAGAGGTTTAGGTAAGCTATCATTATATATATCACCTTCACCGAAAGGTGAATTCACCAAAGAATTCTTTGAATTTTCCTGTATATCTGTACCTTGTCTAATGCTATGTTCTAAACATAGTAATGCGCAATTAGTGCTTGCTGATGGAAATGGGTGGATAAAACATTTTTTCCTTTCAGCCAAAAAGGAGAGGTAACTAAAAGGTTATATGTACCACAAAAAAAGAAAGGGCATAGTGTCCATAAATTTTGTGAAGCCAGTGTAAATGGCAAGAGGCCACCTGATCTCCTGCAGGACTAATATTTTTCTAAAGCTATGGAAAACACAGCTGTGAGGCCAAGACCAAGCCCTAGGTCTTGATTTCATGGGTCAGAATTACTCTTCACTATGACATAAATAACTCCTATGTCAAAGATGTATGAGACACAAAGGGTCTGGGTTACCTCTGGGGAAATACTATACTTCTATTGGCATGTTTCTTTCCAGAAACGCGAGGCAATCCCTTTCCCAAAGAACCCAGTAGGCTGACTCCAATTTTCCCAAATGTTAAATACCTCATTATTTCCACAGTGTTATCATCATTTACGACATGTATCTCCTTTTCTACTTATCTTGAATTTTCATTTGTTTGCGAGCTGTCTCTCCTGGTAAGATACACTCTCCAGAATGGTGTATCATGGGGGTTTTGCTCCTCAGCATATCCTCAGAAGTTAGCCCTGTTCCTGGCAAATGGTCATTTCTTAATAAACATACTTGAATTATTAAATGAATAAGTAAAATTATTAAACTATTTTTACTTAAACTATTTTACTTAAACGTATTCTGCCTCCGTTGTCAATAATATTTTGTTGTGAGTAATAGAAACCCATTGAAATTTGTTCAAATAATTAGAGTTTCTTCAAAGGATATAGCAGAATCTCATGAAACGAAGGACAGGTGGGAAACACAGTCAAGCCTCAAAGGAATGAGATCCAAAGCAGCTGTCCATCTCAGGGTGGACAGTCTCTCATCTCTGCTTCTTTCTGCATCATCTCTGTCTGCTGACTCATCTCTGTCCCCTGACCAGCAACCCCTGCTTTATTCATCTTGTACTTAGACTGAAGTCTCAAGGTTGCCTCATCATTTCTCAGCCCCAGTAACCATCACTAAATGAATCAGACTCGGTCCCCTAATTCCCTAGGACAGGAATTTGATGGGACCAACCCCTCCTCTTTCTGATCCAAACACCACAAGTGATAATTCCCTGGACAGTTAAAGGATAGGTTTTGCACTACAGATTTTATCTGAAGTTCTACACCATCCCATAGCAAGCATGTCCCAGTATCCCTGCCAGCTCTTGGGGACTGTATAATGTCCTCCCACTGACCATAGCTTCCTCTGGTAGATCGACTCAACAATGAATGACATCCTCTATTAGTGGTAAATTCTGTCCTTCAGTCTTGGGTTACTAGTTTTGGTTTTCTTTGCAGTCCCTGATTGATGTGTGTTTCCAACCACCACCTACATCTCACAGTCCAGTGAAATTTCTAACTCTTCAGGAACCACTAATGGTTGTCATTACATAATATGGTTATAAATGCCTTCAGAACCAGCCTCCTACTCCATCCATTTTCCTGCTCTCTTCTAGCCAAGTTTTACACCACGTTTTACCAAAGCAAAAAGCAACTGATGATGATGTTGTTAGTCTGAGTCAGGGTCACACCAGTAGAGGACTTTAGGGACCTCACATAGGGTACCCAAGTGCCCATCACACGTGTACCCATCTTTAATCCCTGTTGTCAGGCCTGAACAAGTCACTCAAGAAGAGTTCCTAGCCCATCACCCTAGTGTAAAAGCCTTTCCAATTCCCTTCCCTTTCCACTAAAACAAACATCCTAATATCTTGAAGCCAGCAGAACACACCAGGCTTCTTAAGGAAGCATGCCAAGATATTAAATATTCGATATTTGAGAAGCTTGACTTATACCTTCTGTCCCCAGCAGATAGGATTAAACAGAAGCCTACATTTCACAGAGTGTGAGAAACAGACATAAATGTTTGTCCTTTTTCCTCTGAGTATTTTTCTGTATCTGCTTGCTTAAAATTCCTATAAATTAATCAAAAGTATTGTTCAAAGGTAACCCTGAAAAGATAAACTGTCCAGCCAAAGGAGAAAGCAATAAAATATTTTCAAAATTTAAAAATCAATTTTAAAATAACTCTAACAACCTGGGGAATATTCATCATAAAATCACAGTGAAATGAAATGTTTAAAACTGTGTACCGCATATATAGCATCGTCACAGCTTTGCTAAGATGCCTAGGGGGACAAAGGGCTGAAAGGAACCAAATAATGGCCATCACTGAGTTGAGGATTATAAGGATTTTTATTTTCTTCTTCACAGTTTTTTTGTATTTTCCAGGTATTCTGCAATTTACATTTTTTTAATAAATAGAATAAAAGCAGAAAGATGCCACTTTTTAAATACCTTGATTTTTTACAAAGTCAGATACACCCCTATATTTATATGGAAAATGATTGCCATATATGATTTTAGAAGTTTTCAAATTATATAAAATAAGCATGATATTTATGCTATATTTTGCTTTTACATTCACAGGGGGGAAATAAAGCATTGCGGGATTTCTCTCCCCAGATGATATTTATTCCCAAGCAGGATTTCTCTCCCCAAATGATATGTGTTCCCAAGTATGTACCTCCACTTTTTTTTTTTTTTAAATCTTTAGAAAACACAGCAAGAGCTCTGATTCATTTGTTTCCAAGTAGATTCGTTTAAGAGTTCATTCCATACTGGTCACATAACAGATGCATTGTCTTGGGTCTTTTTGTCAGAGTTTTGAAAGACTTTCTTGGAACATGCATGTACTTTTTAGATTTGCTTTTTCTTTCAAAATATCTCCATCTATAACACTGTGAAGCTCTGTTCAGGAATTCTTAAGGAGTTCAGTTGTTTTCCCTTGGCACTGAGGGAGAGAGTGTTTCATTGACATGTCACTGGAAAAACAAATGAGCATTTATACTGTGCAAAGGGATGGATTCCCTGTTTGCACAGCCTGGAGTGCAAAAATGGAGGCATCAGGACTCAGGATAAATAAACAAGGGCCTGCCACCACTGGAGCAATCATTCTCCCAGCTGCTCTGTCCACTCCATTCCTTGGCACTTAGAGAGTCAGGGGAAGAAAATGTCTCCTCCGTGTGTATGCAGATGTCAGGCTTATTCTGGACCCCGGTTGAGGGGACAATTTGAAAGAAGAGCTGCTGTATGGGTTTTTAAAAAAACAAACAAACAAACAAAAAAACACTTTACGTGGATGATGGATGCTATGAACTCGTACTTCGTTGATGAGTCTTTTATCCTTCACTTCCTAACACTCCTCTGTGAAACATTTTCTCTTCCAAATAATCAACTTGTAACATCCAACCCTTTAAAGGGATTATTAGAGAGAGTGGCTTTTAACTGGCAATATTTTAAAAGATTTGTGTTTTTAACAGCTTGGTGGAATATAATTAGCCTTGAAATGGAAATCAGGAGATCCTGTCCTTTCCTTATTCTACTAATAACCAGTTTTGCAATTTGGTCAAGCTACTCCACCTCTCTGGGTCCTGGTCTCCTCAGTGGTAAAAGAGCAGTTTGTTGCTAAATACCCCTAAGCTACCTTTTCATTACAAAATTAACTGCTTTTATCACTTTCAGAAAGTGCAGGCCCATAAAAAGTCCTTACTGAAATTATCTGTTGCATTAGAACCAGTTGGTTGTTTGGAGAATTTGGAGGAAAACAGCACTGTTGGGTTTTGAGAGAACACAACACTCTTCGTCACCTATCTTATGTTCTTTCCAGTGCTCAGATAAATCATGCCTGAGGACACCTTCGCTGAAAAAGAGAGTTTCAGATGCCAACCTAGAGGGGAAAAAGGACTCTGGAATGCTGAAATACATCAGACTACAGGTATTGATGCATGGATCAGAAATGTTCATGGAGCAGTAATAAGGAGGGAACTCCAGATATCTTGTTTACTAATGTTTGGGGCATACAATGCCAACTGGCACAGTGTTGGCATAAAGGCCCCTCTAATTTGGTGAGCAAGAATGCTACCAAGTATGCAAGGAAAAATCCCTTCTTGCTGGACAGCCAACTTCCTTAGAGACAAGGCTTGGGGGGGCTTGGCTAGAACCATGCCTCTTCCCACTCTCTCCACTCTCCACCAATGTGTGGTAGTGACGCTCATAGGTCTTGGAATGAGACAGTTGGGTTTCAAATCCTATACCTGCTGCTCTGGCTCTGGGACCTTGGGCAAGTTAACTTAATTTTTCTCAGTTTTAGTTGCCTAATCTCTAAAATGGGGATTTTAACACTAGACCCATCTCAAAGAATTATTGCATGGATTAAAAAAGATAGTATATTTATCTACTTATCCAGTGCTTGGCACAGTTATATTGTTATTACAACCTAAACTCGAAATCATAATACATTTCCCAGGGGAAGAGAAAAAAAAAGTTTCATGTTTTTCTAGAAAGTGTTTTAAATGATGGTTAAAGACCTAGGCTTGCCCCAAACCTACATTTATCACCAAAATTATTTGAAATAATGGATTAAATGGGATTTTGTTGGCTAACCTGGAGCAATAACCACAATGTATAATGTTTTGAAGGGAAAATGCCATCCAAGTTCACTGGCTTAGAAAACTAACTTTCTGAATGGGACTCCTTTATAAATTAGAGGCTGATCACAGTTTCCAGTGGAAATCAGCTTCTAACAGGAAGGAAGATAAGATGCTATGAAAGTCCACCAGGACTTTAAACACAAAGATATATTGGCTGGAGTCCTTCTTTCTCACAGAGCTATACTTATTCTACAGTTTATTCCCTAGGTGGTTGCAAATTAATTTTTGTGGTGAAAGTATTATAAAATTAATATGATTTGGGGGTAATTATACATCAACTAATAGGGTATAAAGCTTATTATACATCATGCCAATAAATACGCTCCCACTTTAGAACGTATTTTAAGGTCATTTAAGGAAAGCAGAGAGAGGGGAAGTGACACTTAACACTCTAGAGGAGTACAGCAATCAGTGTCTTCAAAGATTTTAGGACATCATTTCCATCTTTTTCCAGGTGATGAGCCTGTCGCCTGCTCCCTTATCTCTGCTAATCAAGGCAGCACCAATTCTGACGGAGGAGATGTATGGAGACATCCAGCCAGCTGCCTGGGAGCTCCTGCTCAGCATGGATGAGCACATGGCAGGGGCAGCAGGTAAAGAAAGACCACCTGGGACTCTGGTCCTGCTGCCACTCATCCCAGCATTTAAACAAGAGAGAGGCACATTCATTCCATTTTCATTCACCCTTAGGTCAGATTGCTAGCAATGGCTGGACCTCTAGACAGAGCTGTGCACTAAACAGAAACAGGCCTAGGTTCTGTGTGCACCCTTTTCATGTCACTGTATAGTTTGCACAAGGGCAGCATGTCTCTCCCAAGATGTTACCAAATTATAGAGAATGATTTCTCCCAGAACCTACATTTTCACTATATTTCACAAAATATAAAATTCTTTTTGTGCGTTGTGATTTCCCAGATTGACCATGAACAACCATTATTAATTTTATTAAATCTTATGTGAGTAATAGTCTGTGTTCAAATCACAATATCAAAATAAATTTGTGAAATTTAAGTGATGTGTCCAAAGCCACATAGCTAACAAATGGTAGAGGTAGAATCTGGATTCTTCATCGTTTTCCATTTTTTGTGCATATTCCTTTATTTTATAGTTATTTTAATTGAAAATGCACATGGTAAAAATTCAAATAATATAAGAGTGTATGAAGTTTAAAAGTATCACCCTCTTTCCCATGACTCCCAGTCCTCTTTCTCAGAGGTGACAATTTTTAAATTTCCCAGGAAACCTCTGGGGTAAGCTATGCATATATATATATCTATACCTATGTATGTATATATTACGTTTCCTTTTTCACACAAATAGGACATACCATAAAGACTTCTGCATCTTGCATTTTTATCTAGGAGACTTTTTTAAGAGTTTATTTGAACAAAAATTGATTCCAATCAGGCAGTGCCAAGCTACAAGTGGTTAGGAGCACTCCACCAAGAGTAGCTCAGGGAGAGACTTTTATAGAGAAAACGCAGAAGCAAAGAAAAGCAATTATTTATTGTCTGTAGCGTAAAGCCTAGTTAGCTGTTTGTGACTGGTTATCCTTAGCATTTTGATTTGTAACCTTGAGGTGTTTATAGGCATAGATTTTGGTTTGCTCATGTAAGCTGCCGTGGCATTAGAGCTACCTCAGTCTAATGGTCTCCTTTTAAAACAACTTAACAATTTCCCCCTTTTGGTCATCCTCTCGTATGTGAAAAGTTGACCAAAAATTTAGTATTAATGCCACTCTTTGTCACCATCAGAGTTAAGTTTCTCTTGTCTCATTGTGAAACTCATAGTAGGTTATGACGTCATGTCCGTGGAAGAATTGTTTTGCTGTTCATCTCGTTGTTCATCTTGTTCCTGTTTCTCCAAGCACAGTAAGACCAGCTAATGTACTGCTGATGGCTGTGAACATGCATTTAAGACCTTTGAGAGAATACAGCACACCACAGAGACTACAGTGATAACTATTAGGAGGATAATATCAAGAGACTAAAGTGTGCTCCTTAGCCAGGGCCCCAGTGAACCAAACTAGCTGGTATCAAATAAATCAAAGGATGTACCTGTTTAACCAAGTGGCTTGTTTGTTAATTTTCTGCATTTGCTACAATACTAGAGATGTTGATCAGGGCGCAGCAGGAGACATTTGCTATGGCACATGTTCAGCCAATAACTAATCTAAAGCAATTCTATTATCTAAATTTACCTTAGCAAGAAAACCTTGGGACTTTGATTGTTCAGCTACGGCCTTAGCAGTAGATCCATCAGCAGTTGCCAGAGTTAAGGAGCGTTATCTTCCTATGCGTTAACAGAGAGAAAAAGCAAGTAGTGAAAAGGCAAAAGGAATAAACATTTCATATTGGTGTTAAAGACCTTGATCTGCAATCTTGGGAGACAGCTGTCTACCACAAGATGCCATCTGCCTCTGGGTAAGAACCTCCTTAGTCAATTTTAATTTTAGGTCTCCAGCTGGTATGCAGTTCCAAGAGTTTGGAGAAGCCCTTTTTAACTGAGGGATGTGGACCCAAGGTTCAATTCCATGAAGTTTTCTAAGTAGTTTTAATTGTATATATTGATTAGAATTCTTAATGCTTAGAACTGTTTTTTCCTAGTGAAACTAAGATGTAAGCAATTGTGGAGTGTCTGTTATACTAGCATTCTGTGGGTTGGCAAATTTATAAATACATTTCACGATTTCTGGAAGTATATTCTTTCTCAGTAAATTTTTCATTGTGGCACAAAACATGTTTAGTAATAAACCCAAATATCTTTAGTGCCTCTGAAAAGGAAGCCAAAAGTAGATAAAGCTATGTTCAGTAATTAATGTTTCAGTATTGTATCTTATTTGGAAATGATCTAGATATTCAATGAATATCCATCATTTAACTTATCTCAGCATAACTTTAAGGTTTCAAGTTACCAAAAAGATTTTAGAAACTATTTTTAAGTAGACATACCATAAAGCATAATGTTGAAAAATTTATTTATAAACTTTTTACTTTTTTAAAAAGTAAACTTTTATTTACATCTATTTAATTTATTTGTTCTTAACAATTATGTTTAGAATATTCATGAAAATTTTGTGAGACATTAAACAGATAACCATCATTTTAAGTTATTTTTCTTTCTGACAAATTCTATAACATGAGTTTATTTGACTTTTAGTAAACCTAGGTAGGATAAAAGTATTATATTTAATGCTAATAACTCTAAAGACATACCTATTTTGATTAAACCAACAAACTTCAACCACCTTTTATTTCCTGAAGATTATCCTAGATCAAATGAACTTGAAAAAATTTTTGGTTAGTTTCTGGATTTCTGAGAGTATACTTGATTTATGTAAATGCTTGTTTGTCTTTAAGCCAATTAATAGAGCTCTTTACACATTAATTTTGGCAATACCATCCAAAGGTAGAAAAATATCACACATCTACAACATACGAACAGAGATATACATAAGCATACAGACATATGCAGAGATCTTATAGCTTTAGTTTTAAAATTTTGGCCATGAGACAGGTATGATAATGCAAAACTGACTAGTTTATAAAAGAACAGTTGGATCTAAACTGTGTTTCTGGCAGATAAAATAAGTTAAGGTTACCTGCTCAGATAGCTAAAACTTTTACTAATATTTGTGGAAAAGACTTTTAAGATTTTTCATTCACTTAATTTCCAAAACAGCTCCCTTCTTTTTCTGATAAGAATTACTTCCCTGAAGTTTACATTTCCGGAGATGGCTTTGGGTTCCTAGAGAAGACCAGGTAGAACGTTTATATCTCAAAGGCACAGAGAAAAGATATAAATTTCTCCAAAAAAGACTTTTGTTTCCTAAATCCAGTTTTTTTTTTTAACAATATCTGCAAGCCTTTTGAGATAAATAGGGGAAATTTGGGGATAGGTAAAAAGGATAGGTGGGCTTTGAGTTGTTTCTAGAGCCACATTTCTGTTCTTACAAAGACTTAGTGTGTTAGACAGTTGTTTTTAATTCCTTGAAAGATTGGGTTGCAGCCTGAATATCAAGATGCTGACCCAACCATCCAACTACATTATTCTTAGTTTTCTTCTTTATATCAGGGAGAAGAGCTCTAAGATGGAAATCAAAAGATTCCTGCGTTCTAGAGCTGTGTGTCTTTGGAACGCTTCAGTAAATCCTTCTACAATGGCTTCAGCATGTTTTTCGATCCCTCTGGGTACATAATTTTATTTTAGGTTAGGGGAGAAGGCCTAAAAAATGGTTCCTATCAGGCTCTGAATATCAGCTTCCAATTTGGTCAACTTCTGACTATAGAGCTAATTAAAAAAAAAAATTTTTCTTTCAAATATCTTGTCAGGTTCGAGCGAGACAAACAGTAAATATTCCTGGCAGTATTGAACTACCCCATGAGCACAACATCCAGAGCCACCCCCAAAGATAGCCAAAAGAAAGAAGGACTTAGACAGTTCCCCTGAGAGCTGGCAATGGGAGGACCCTAGCCACAAATGGAATGTAACCCACATTTCTGCCTGGCTATATTTTTGAGTTCCCCAACCTGATGATTGCCAAGCTAAGTTCTCAGGACAAAAAAATGAGATGGACAAGAAGGCAATAGCTGTCCCCGGGAGAGAAAAGATCAATAACCTTTTTTTTTTTTTTTTTGGTAATTTGGAAAGGAAGCGGCAATGTGAAATTTTACCTTCTTCTCTCAACCAGCCACCACAGGTAGAGAGGTCTGGGGGAGCTGATGTTAGTAAAAATTCTTACTCTTTGCCGGCTTCTGCCAGTTTTCGCAGGGTGATGTCTGCAGGCTCCAGAGTGAGGGAGGCATTCCAGTGGGTCTCATCCTGGTCACCAGTAACTGTAAAGGAGGAAAAATAATTTTCCCTCTACCCTTAACAGTGAGTGCCTGGCTGAAATACTTTTTCCTCTAGGATAACTCATAAATGGATAGGCTTATCTAAGATGGTTTAAAGTTCTCCACTGTGGCCAATGTAATTCAAGATTATCTTTGGTATAGTTAACCTACTTGTTCCTTAAAAAAAAAAAAAAAATTCTGTTCACCTGAGACCTCACACTAGACTCAGTCCAGTTTTAAGTCAGACCCAGTCCGACCCTGGATCCAGTCTGGTTTCTAAATTGGAACCAGTCCATTCCTGAGCCCAGTCTGGTTTTTAAGTCTGACTCATTCCAACTGTAGCCGGTTTCTGGACCCAGCATGAAAAAGAAAGGCTCAGATAAAGTCTGCAAGCTCATAACACAAAAACTTCAGTGCTAGGATTTGAGAGGGACTTACCCATGACCTCCAGAGGCAGCGAGAAAGCAGCAAGCTCAAGGTCTCAACAGATACCTATGCCAGGTTGCTCATTGCTCCTGTGGGCTGTTGGGGGGGCGTCTCCTTTGGTTCCCTCTTCTGACACCAGAACTGTTAAAAGGTAAACTGAGGCATATTAAAAATTTGGACAAAAATAAATTTGAATTGAGAAATGCCAAACAAGAAGTGGTTAAGAGTTCTCTCTAGGAGACCATTTTTAACATCAGTCTATAAGTTTACCTATTCTTTTTAATGGCTACCAAATATTCCATTGAATGAATGGATATAACAATTTTTTTAACCTGGAAATTTTAGTTGATTCTTGCCTTTT